GAGGAGTCCGGAGAGGCAGCGAGAACGTGGGCGACGGTCGCGAGCGTCGTGGCCGACGGCGGCGTGGACGACTCAGCTCTTCAGTGGCGGTGGTGGATGACGGGGATCCGGCGTGACCGTGCTCGGATCTAGCCACCCCGTGGCTGGATCCGGCGCTCCCAGCAATGGATCTGGCCACAGGCGGCGCAGCAGCGACAGGGTTGGCGTTGGAAGTGGGAGACTGGCGTCGGTGGCTGGAGGGCTATGGGAAGCCGTGGGTGAAGGCGCTACAGTGGCAGTGGGGATGGCGGTGGTCGCTGGCAGAGGCTGCTCTGGCAGCGGCAGAGCTCGCAGCGACAGCGGACAGCAACCAGGAGGCGCGGCGACAGCTGGCAGAGCGGGCGACGGCGACTGCGACTGTGAGAGGAGGCACGGATGACCACGGGCGGCTAGCCGGGGAGGTGTGGCAGACGACCGCATTTTCCCAGTGCGGCAGCGGCGGGAGGAGTGCTCGGAGGCCAGCTCGGCGTGTAGACGCGCGGCCAGTGGTAGCGTAGGCCGGCACGGCGCAAGGAGGCGCAGCCGGCGGCGGTGGAGGCTGGCTTGGTGCGAGGAGGCATGGTCGACGGTGGGAGGCCAGGCTTGGCGTGATGAGGCACGACCGGCGGTGGACAAGGCTGGCCAGGCGCGATGAGGCGCGGCCCGCGGTGACGGAGTTGGGCATGGTGTAGGGAGGAGGAGCTGCAGGTGGGTGCGATGCAGTCTACGGCGCACGAAGGCTGGCCGGCGGGGGGCGTCGGTGTAGTGGTCCCACATGTCGGCAGAGGTTGGATGGTGGTGGAGCATCGGGGCGCCAGCCGTGGACTCGCAGGTGGTGAGCGGCGGGTGAAAACCCAGCCTGGCCTCAGCCGGGCCGGCAACGATGACGCTTGAAACGTCATTCCCCTCCTGAGGGCGTTGTCGTGCCGTCTCATCCCTTATGTGTGGATGCCGGGTGAAAGCCCAATCTCGTTCTCTTTGAGACCTTGATGGATGGCGGCGGCGGTGTTTTTCGTCGTTTCTTTCCTTGAAGATGTCGTTTAGGCATCCCCTAGCCGGCACCCCCCCCAACCAATTGGTGCAAGCTCACTCTAGATTTCATCCTCTTGTGGCGGCGTCCTAGTCTCTACAAGTTGGCCACGTCGGAGGGTCTAGGGAGGAGAGGAGTTCCATTCTTCTCTCACACCCTCTCTCTCCCTAACTCCTGAAGACTTGGATAGAACGGGGCTTTGTGTTGATTTTAAGGGTTGGGTTTTGGGCGATCTCGGCCGTGTTTCTTTGTTGGCCTAGCGGCGGCTGGTCCGGTGCTAGCCTTCTCTTGATTCTGTGTGTTAGCATTGTCGATGTATGGGTGGTGGTATACTTTTCTTCTTTTCCTGGTTACGACCTTACAGGGTTGTAATATTTTAATTTTTCTCATGCTCTATCAATAGAACTTCGCACCGTCTTGTGTGATTCGTTAAAAAACATCAAACCAAGCAAAACCAATGCTATCGAAAGTATTGTTGATTTGGGCAACGAAACGAACAAGCTTTAAATTATTTAGAGTCCCTCTACGGTACCCTATACTAGTAGTAGCATTAATCTTAACTATTGATTTTTTTTTCAATCCAAGAGACCAGATGTATTTATTATACTACCACCTCAATCAATGGTAGTGGAAAAGTGAAAGAGCATAATAGTCCATTAAGATAAGAGCATGGGGGGATGATATCATAATTTTAGTCCTCCGATGTTTGGGCCGTAGTGGCCCGAGCATTGAGGCAGTAATTCGGTGCGGTTCCTGAAGCTAGCAGCGACCGCTCTTCCTCACCTTGGGGCGGTGTGCTCCGCCGCCGGCGGCGGCGGCGGCGTAGACACGGATAGAGCATCAACAGCACTTTAATTTTAATAGAGCAGAAAAAGAAATTGGCTTGAACCATGCAAAATTAGGTATAGAGATTGTCTTCTTTTCCTTGTTCACAGTTTGATCGCATCAATCATGGTTATTATTAGGAAAATATCAGGCCAGAACAATCATCCGAAAAAACTCCATATTGATCACACGCATACAGCTAATTTTTGCTGCAACAAACGCTCTGGGAGACCCCCCGCGTCGCCCCCGTGCAGGCGACACGGGGGGTGAAACCCTACAGCCACAGCACCCTTCCTATCCCCCTCCACCCTTCCTCGCCGCGGCCGGAGCTTGCCGCCGGCAAAGCCGGCTGGCGAGCTAGGATGGTGACGGCGGGGCCTTCCCGCGGTGGCGCATCTTCTCTGTGCGAGGGATGCGGCAGTCGCCGATGGCAGCGGGGTCTTCAAGCTAGCAGGGCGGCGGCAGATCCAGCCCCGCCGCCGCTAGATCTACGATGGCGGCGTCGGGAAGCACGACGCAAGGGCGGTGTGGCCAGCGGAGGCCGCTGCAGCGGGAGGCGGCGTGGTGGTGGCGGCCCGTGCAATGGCCAGTGGTGGCCAGCGCTTGCGAGGCTTCGCCGCTGCGGCGCGAGGCGGCGTGGAGGTCCATGCGGTGGGTCGGCGTCTGGGGTGGCGCGGCGGCCTGCTGGGGGGTGTGCGTCAGCTGGCCGCCCTCTTGGCTAGGCAGCGGTAGATCCGGCGCCGGCGTTGCTGGATCTAGCACCGGCGGCGGCGACGTGGGCTGGCGCGGCTGGTGGTGGCCAGTGCGGCGGAGTCTGGCTCGCGCTGGGGCGGAGGCCAGCACTCACGAGGCGGTGCTGCGGCGCCAGCCGGCTTCAGCGGTCAGCAGGCTGCTCGGGTCCTACCGGGCTCTCACTGGGGTCACGTCGGTGACTCCGACCGCTCCAGTCGCCGGCAGCCACCCTCTTCTCTCCTTCCTTCCCTCTTCTGTCTTCCTCCCTCTGTCATCTCTCAGCACAAGTAGAAGGGGGAGGCCCCCCATTTCTTCTTTCCTTTCAGTTGCTCTGCTGCTTGCCCCAGCGCTCCTCTCTCTGCGCTGGTGGTGAAGTTGGAGGTGGTTGCCGCAGTTGTAAAGATTTCCCCACGAAGCCGGGATACCCTCGACAGAAACATGGAAGACACCGATGTCTTTGATGCCCTTGCTTTCAGCTCTCAGTCCCCTTTCAAGCTGGCCAGGCCTCCTCCCCTCCTTGATGATCCTCCCTTCTCTTGGCCGTCTACTTTCAGACCTGGCCGTGGAGTCTTTTGGTGGTTGAAGAGATTTGTTTGTCCGCGTTGGTGGTCCAGTTTGTCCGTAGTCAGGGCTCTTGGGCCTCGCCGGTGCTTCATGCGCCCTGTGGCTGTGTAAACCTGTAGTTGTGCCGAGTGTGGAGCGGTGTGCTTATCCTCTACTCCCTCTGTCCCATAAAAAACCAATCTAGTACTGGATGTGACACATTCTACTACATGTCCAGATTCGTTGTACTAGCTAGAATATGTCACATCCAGTACTAGATTCACTTTTTTTTAGGACGGAGGGAGTACGGTGTTAGAGTTTTAGTGTTAAGGTGGAGTCGGAGCTGCTGCATCATATCGGGTTCAGCCAATAAGCTGGGCAACGATAACACTCACCACTCTTGCTCTAGCTTCTTGGAGATCCTGCACTTCTCAAGGGAGTCTTGGGTGAAAGCTCTGCCTGGTCTTCCAGGATCGGTGACATCGACGCCTGTGGGTGCCGTTTCCTCCTTGGAGATGTTACCTTGTGGACTCTCTCCCTTTCGGGTGAAAAACCAGTCCAGTTTTTGGGCGGACGTCGGCAGCGACCTCTGTCGTTGTTCACCTCCTTGGAGGCTTCGCCTTGAAGGTTTTACTCTTCCCTCAATCATTTCTGTGGGACTAGTCATTTTGTCACAGGCTTTTTATGTCTTGTGTATAGTTTTGCCGGTTTCCTTTAGCAAACTGTGCAGTTGTATGGTTTTCAGACCCAGTTTTCCTTATAAAAGGATCAACTCTCTTCTTCTAATATATCCGATAAAACTCTTACCGTCAACTGTTTCAAAAGATTAGGAAAATATCGATGCAATTTAACCAATCGAAGAACAAGCCTATCTGGTACGTAAAAAAAGAGACCACCTTGTCGTCGACACCAACGGGACCTCGTACGTCGTGGGCCAGCTCGCCGTCCGTTGTGGCAGAGAGAGATGCTCGAGTCCCTACTGTTCACGGGGGTGACGAGGTTGCCGTCCAGACGACGGCAGTACTGTCCTTGACAGCGGTGAACCATACGGAGAAGGAGAAGACATTGTTGCCGTCGTCGCCCACCTGAGTGAAGCCGCAGCTGTAGGAGAAAGTGCCGTACGAGAGTACCGGAGCGTTGCCCTTAAATTTAGGGGTTGTTTAGATGGTGCTAAAACCTTTTCAGTCTCCGTTACATTGTATGTTTGGACGCTAATTTGAAGTATTAATCGTAGACTAATAAAAAAAACTAATTTCATATATAATAACTAATCTGCGTGACAAATTTTTTAAGTCTAATTAATCCATAATTATTAAAAGTTTACTGTAGCATCATATTGTCAATCATAGCATAATTAGACTCAAAAGATTCGTCTCGTGAGTTAGTTAGGAAATGAGTTTTATAATTAGTCTATATTTAATACTCTAAATTAGTGTCTAAACATCCTATGTAACAGGCAAACAACCCCTTATTCCTCATGTTCTTATAGTATACTGTACACCTGGATCTCTCAATCGATCCCCTTTACCAGTACACTAAACATTGATCTCGCCTTAATTAATTAATTTCTTGATCTCAAGAGGACAACAGACCCCCTGGCAAGGACAGATCGAAAAACATCGCTCGCCGAACCATTCAATTCTCACTGAAAAAGCTTAATTAGGAGTAGTAGCTAGCGTGTGAGGAAGATTCATAACCATATATCATCTTAATTATTAGCCTTTTCTGATTTAGCTTATTCACTTAACTCTTCATTACTAAGCTAGCTACACGAGGCGTAGCTAGCTAGTACAGGCCCCAGCGAGCATAAATAGCAGCGTCCCCTGCTTCCTTTCCTCGTCGTCCTCAGCTCTCATCTGCATGCAGTTCACTTCACACACAACACGGCTTAGCTTGCTCAGCTTCACTGATCTTCTTAGCTATAGCTACTTCACTGTGCGTGCTAGCTAGCTAGCTGCTTTGCATAGGTTGATCGAACTAATTAACTCACCAAATTAGCTATAATGGCCAAGCTGATCCTCGCCACCTTCGCCGTCGTGTTCCTGGCGCTCGCCGCCACCTCCCTCGCAGGCGACCCCGACATGCTCCAGGACGTCTGCGTCGCCGATTACAAGTCCCTCCGAGGCCGTAAGTGCTCGACCATATATATTATAGGTCTTGACATCGTCTCCCACACATTATCCATCCATCCATTATATTTTTAAGACGGCCATAAAAGAAGACACCAAGTAAAAAAAATAAATCTCAATGATACTCTTGTTTGATTTTAAAATCTCAATGATAATAAAGAAGGGAGGCGGCGGGCGAGTCGTAGAGGAGTACACTGATGTTTTGGCGAAACTTTTGGAAAGTAAAAAAAATGAACCTGTTTAGTTATGTTGATTTTTAAAATACCAATAACAATAAAGAGAAGAGACAGTGGACGGTCATAAAGGATTATAATGGTAATGTTTGAAGGGACTTCTAAAAAATATAAAAACGAAACACAACGGGACAATAAACTTTAAAAACTATAAGTCAAATTTTTAAAGTTTCCAAAGAGAATGGATAGAAACAGTGGTAGATCAAACAAGCAAATAAATAAGGATATGACAAAAGTAAAGAATAGCAACTGGTGTGACTTTTAAAAACTATAAAATTAAAAACACAAAGATGATAAGGTTTAGTCTTTTAAAGTCTTAATACAACGATATAACTATTTAATAAACTTTAATTAAAATTATATTAAAAAATATACAATTTTAAATGGGTGCTAGCCAGCCAGTTAATATGAATTGATCGGTTTTTTTTAACGACCATATTGACGTGTATGTATGCTTGCGTGCAGCGCTGCGGCTGAACGGGATCCCGTGCAAGAGGCTGGAGAACGTGACGGCGAACGACTTCTTCTTCGACGGGCTGACGAACGCCGGGAACACGACGAACGCGGTGGGGTCGCTGGTGACGGCGGCGAGCGTGGAGAGGCTGCCGGGGCTGAACACGATGGGGGTGTCCATGGCGCGGATCGACTACGCGCCGTGGGGGCTCAGCCCGCCGCACACCCACCCGCGCGCCACCGAGATCATGTTCGTCGCCGAGGGCACCCTCGACGTCGGCTTCGTCACCACCGCCAACAAGCTCTTCACCCGCACCGTCAGCAAGGGGGAGGTGTTCGTCTTCCCGCGCGGCCTCGTCCACTTCCAGAGGAACAGCGGCAACACGTCGGCGCTCGCCATCGCCGCCTTCAACAGCCAGCTCCCCGGGACGCAGTCCATCGCCGACACGCTCTTCGGCGCCGCGCCGCCGCTGCCGTCGGACACGCTGGCCAGGGCGTTCCAGGTCGACGGCGGCATGGTCGAGTCCATCAAGTCCAAGTTCCCGCCCAAATACTAGATTGCATGCATACTGCAGGAACAAGATGGCAGCTGAGCTAAGCCCTACCGCGATAATAATTAAGAGGGCGTACCGTTAAGAAGTTTGTGATTTGATTGACAGGATTTGTGTCAGTGTGTGTTTGTGTTTGTGAGTCGTTTGATTTGGTTTGGTTTGTAATTTTTATTTTTATTAGAAAAATGCTTGTACGTTGCAACAGGTAAATGCTATTTTAATTTTGTTATTGTTGTATGGTTTAGCTAGAGTAAAATTCGCTGTGCGAATTCGTTTGGATTTTTTTAGAAAATTATGAGTTGTAATTAGGACTATGTACATGCGAGTTTTTCTAAAGAGATTTCTTGTATGATTCCTTTTGTATTTCTAAAAGTACACGAGCTTAAAATTCAACTCAAACACGGATCTGCATTTCCAAAAATGTATGAACTTAAAAACCGACTCAAACACGAATTACGTACCAAAATACCGGTAAAAACATCTTCTATAATATAGTAGAGATTTTTGAGTCATTGATTGATCGGGTGGTGTCTCCAATACCAAGTGCGGCCCCATTGCCAACAAGGAGTATGACTACGGTGGTGTTTGGATCCGGGGACTAAAATTTAGTCCATTGGATATTTGGACACTAATTAAACATAGACTAATGACAAAACCCATTCCATAATCTTCGAATAATTCGCGAGACGAATCTATTGAGCCTAATTAATCTATTATTAGCCTATGTGATGCTAAACATGTGCTAATTACGGATTAATTAGGTTTAAAAAATTTGTCTCGTGAATTAGCTCTCATTTATACAATTAGTTTTATAATTAATCTATGTTTAATACTTCAAATTAACGTCTAAACATCTGATGCGATAAGAACTAAAGTTTAGCCCTGATCCAAACACCACTTACATCGCAGGCCAGTGCAAGAACAGGGAATGCCAAGAGTGAGGTCTTGATGGCTTTCGGAGGGTTAATGACTGCAAGGATGACCCAAAAGCAACCGACAATTATGGATACTATGACAGAGGAGGCAAGAGGAACAAAGTTGGCGAAAGGCTTGTAGGCAGGATTCTGTCGGGAAGAGGCCTGGACACAAGGAAGATTGTGAGGGCAATGAAAGCAAGGAGGTGTAAGATAAACACCACTTTTGTGACACTGGATGTGAAACCACTGCAGCAACCACGACTATCAGGGACAACAATATTGCCAAATGCTGGGGAGTAAATTTGCTCATCTATTTCAATAATATAATGGTTATAAGGTAGAGACTCTCTACCTTTTTGCGTAAAAAAAATAAAGCGCAACTTTACAAGCTGAAAATGATTGCTAATGCCAACTTTAACTAGTTCAGTGGATCAAGCCCAGAATCAGACAAAATACATGTCAAATACTGTGATTAGAACTTTATGATGCTCATTCTGAAAATCAGATCATGTCTGTCTCTGTTCATTTAGAATTTTCAGAGGAAATCATTGTTCTGTCATCAGTACAAAGGACCTGAGCTGCACTAGGGTTGTGTTTAGTTCACACAAAAATTGAAAGTTTGGTTGAAATTGGAACGATGTGACGAAAAAGTTGAAAGTTTATGTGTGTAGAAAAATTTTGATGTGATAAAAAAGTTGAAAGTTTGAAGAAAAAACTTGCAACTAAACACGCCTAGATTTCACAAGTAAAATTACAGAGTGAATAGTAGGAACCCTTGAATAAAAAATCCGTTTCTTTACCTGCAGCCTGCAGGAAAAATTCTGTAAAAACTCACGCATATCTGAACATCAACCAAACTACTCTCTCCGTCCCCCTAATATAAGAGTTTTTAACGTTTTACTTACACTGTTTGACCATTCGTCTTATTTAAAAAAATAAAATTATTTATTTATTTATTTATGACTTACTTTATTATCCAAAGTAATTTAAACACAACTTATCGTTTTATATATTTACACATATATTTTAAGAGGAGTGATCAAACAGTGTAAATATAATAACAAAATCTCTTATATTATGGGACAGGGAGTACAACTGTACAACAGAGCTACCTAGTCAGTAAACCACCATATAATAATTATGGAGATTAAGCGTCCATTGACAGTATCAGAAGTTGCAAATAATCAAGCACGCTGAGTCTCTCACTAATTACATAGCGAACAGTAAAAACTCTCTGTACAAAAATTCGTTTCTTCACTTGCATGAGAAATTCTGCACAAACTCAGGCATATTTGAATATGAACTAAACTGTAAAGCTGCCAGAATCAACTCCACTCCACAGCCCTACAAACTGAAATGATGATTCCTCCCTCTCTGGACAAGGGCGCTTCACGAGCTACGGGACAAGGGAGAGAATTCCTCCCTTACTAACCCAACCACGCATGCAAGCGAGAATCGAAGGGGAAGCGCCGTGCAACGGCTTACCGAGAAACGCACGGATCTCCTGCGCCGGCGGCTTGGGGCGCCGTCCGCCGGGGAGACGACTTCGCAGCCGTGCTGCCGCCGCCACCGATTGTTGGTATTCTCTCGAGTTCGTGGAGGAGAAAATGGTGGGGATAATTGAAACAGTACCAGCGGAGGAGAAAATGTGTGTCGGTGTGTGGAGTAGGACACGCAGACACAGTTGGGCCAGGCTACGCGTAACCTTTCAGCCCGGGCTCCACGCGAATCTTGAAGACAAATCCAACGGTCACAAAACACGGCTGACAAATTGAAAAAAAAAACAGAGGCAGTTGTATAGCTATTTCCATTTTTAAACTGTAAATGGTGTATTTTGTGTTAACACGTATGATAACAATAGTAAGACATTTTGTTGCTTGTTGTTCTTGTTTTTTTTTATTTGCGAGATGTTGTTTGTTTTGCTCAAATTATCTACCGTGCATTCCAGATAAAAAAAAGTTAAGACAATATAAGCTCCTTTGAAACACAGAGGGTTCCTAAGAATTAGGAGTAGTTCTGTTTCTAAAAAAAAACTAAAATCCTTTTCTTGTAAAGGAGGCCTCGATGATTAGTGTATACCCCACAAAATATTATTAGTACTTCCTCCATCCACAAAAGTTACACCTATTTTATATTTGAGTTTTTCCAAATAAGTTATTCCTATTTATAGTCTTTATGCATTCAAGACTTAATTGAAGAGATAAATTAAATATTTTATTAGAACCCAAGGAGTCATCTAAATACTCATTGGTTGCATGCTTGCATTCACTCCTTGATTTTGTAACATCCAAGGTGATTTAATTTCTCCTTTGTCTTGGTGTCAAAAGTAATATGTGTAATTTTTGTGGACAAAGGGAATACTCCCTCCATACTCGTAAAGTAAGTCGTTTAGGACAATGTTTAAGTCAAACATGGGAATATAAATCATGAATAACTCTCAAGTTATTGAGTTTGAAAATATGAACTAGAAAGGTAGCCCGCGCGATTGCGCAGGCTTCTCTTTTTCTCTAAGTAAATCTTTTTATGATTACTATTTTTTATACATATATAAAGTTTCCGTAAAAAGTTCATATATATATATATATATATATATAGGACACTCATATGGGGCACCATGGTGCCCGGGCACCATGGTTTCAAATGCACAAAATCACTCAAATTTTTCAAAATTTTCAAATTGTGAGTATATACCTAGTTATAAGAATTCGATTCATACCTATACCTATCAACAAAACAACTCAAATTTAACTTTATTTCACAATCCATGATTACATACCTAACTAATTATATGTATGGATGCTATATACCTAGAATCAAAATCTAACAAAAACAAGTTCAAATTCAGTTCAAACTTACTTTCAACTAGTTAGTAAAGTAGTTAATATTAATACCTAAATAATTGAAAAAGTTTCATGCTCATTTGAATTGGGTATATACTCAATTTCAACAATGGTGCCCGGGCACCATGGAGCACCAAACAAATTTACTTTACTATATATATATATATATATATATATAGCAAGCAGTCACCCACATCATGTAGTTGTTAGTCATTCAAATTTCTGATGGTTAAGAGTTTCACACCTTTGCACGTATAAACTTTAACTACAGCTGAGATCTTTGATAATACCGAACTAATTATTCTTTTTGATATCTGTATTTTTTTTCTTACTGACTCATGAGCATTTAATTTTCTCATGATTTATAGTGATATCAAATTGGACATCCACAAATATGACTTCTAAATATGAAATTTAGAAGTTCCTATGGTACATATCCATTCTTCAAGCGACCTATGATCCATAATTCCCTAGCGTGTTTGTAGCCTATAAAACGGTGTAATAGAGACTCATCTATGCAAAAAGTTATTATAATTAAGTGGTTTGGTACCACCATAAAAGTTTAAAAGTTTACATGGATAATTAGGTCAGCTTATAAATCAGTCTTGGCACTTTAAATATGATAACAGTGTGTTAACCATTTTACACTAAGTGAGAATGAATGTGTAAGTGAAGTACTATGTATGCATATGTATACATAATCCACATAAAATTTAAGGTAATATAGATTTTGGAGTTAGGTTATGACATGGCCTTATTCTAGTTTCCCTACTCCGATGATACTCTGTAATATTATTCATTGTACTATAAATTTATAGCGTGGTAATAAATATGTAGTGCCTTATTAAAGTTTTTTTTTAGTCTTTGATCTCCAAACATGACATGAAAAAAGTCATTTAAATATGTTTTCATCAAATAGTACTGTAGCAAAGTTTCATCAAGTTCATCATTAGATAGTTCTATTATAAAAACCTCAAATAAAATGATTTTGATAGAATGTCCTACTTGCTCTACTCTTAAATAGTATGTTAATACTTCGAAATAAGTAGTCCGCTGAACCGTCTCATATTTTTAAATAAAACACTCATCTTATAAAATGGGTAATATTCACTAAATGCTTGAACCCTTCTCTTTGTTCTCTCTTTCCAGGGATTAAAATTCAATATCAAAATTTTTTGTTACCCACTTGAGTTCTTGTTTGGTATTATTATTCCAAGGTTAAGGGGATTAATCGAATGATTTCATATGTAGCCTCTTTGCCGCAAAGATTTACTATGCTATCATTTTGTGCATGTTAATTTCAAATGATGTGATATAAATAATAATGCACATATATGGGAGTTGAAAGAACGTTTTATCATTACAATTTAATTATCATGGCCTTTCCTTGTTGGCTTGTTGTGGTGGCTCTTTGTAACTCCTACTGGGTTCTTTTGGTGTTGTGATTGGATGGCTGGCAATCTCGTACGACTCGGTGCTAATAATCCTTGCTATAACACCGTACACCTTGCAACAATCACTATAACCCCACTTGACACCTCAAGTGATTTGATTTTCTATAAGATAACATGCTTTGATTATTTTTTTTCTTCAATATGGTGGCCTAGTTATCATGTGCGTATACATATGTAAAGCGATTGAAATCATCCAATGGCCAAGATAAAAGGAACCATGAAATTAATGGAGGATTAAGCATTGAATGTTTTGCCTTTTATAGAGAATTTTTGAAGTTTATTTTCTTATTTCTTAGAAGCTTTAATAGATGATGTAGGATGGTTCTATAGGATGTTTAATGGGCCTTAAAATGGTTTACAATTCTATATATCCTATAGATTAGCCGTTGATATTTTTTGTTTACTGTTAGGATCAATGCTCTTGAGTTTTTCTATTGTTTAAATTCTTATAGAAGCTCTTTATTATTATCATGCCATTTTAAAATTTATATATCCTATAGATTAGCCGTTGATATTTTTTGTTTACTGTTAGGATCAATGCTCTTGAGTTTTTCTATTGTTTAAATTCTTATAGAAGCTCTTTATCATTATCGTGAACATGTATGTTTTTGCGTTAGCTTTAAATTAAATAATGTTTGTATTCAACTACGTATATTTATAAAGTGATATAAGATAATATAATCTATAATATAATATCACTTTATCTTTATTATATGATGTTACGCATACTCATAGTAGCCGATGTGATGGACAGATGCTTCGCTTCCATTTGTAACTCGATGATTGGTGGATATGTATTTCTACATGAAAGTGACACATTAGAGATTAGTGGAACATATATATGCTTGACCTTTAATTTATCCGCGTATAACCTGACCAGATTGAACCCTACTAATAGCTTTATATTTATCTTTTCTACTTCCGTTTCACAATAAAAAAATCTGTATACATGAAAAAAAGTTTTCATAACAGATTTAATAAAATTATTATCAATTCAAAATAAAATGAGTATTTTTTAAGGAACATCGATCACTCATAGTTAGGTTCATTTTATTTCTTATGGCGTCGTAGATATAATTTAGTTATATGTATCTGTTGACTTCTATACAATAATATAATCACCATTATCATGTTTTTAGAATTTTATGTTGGTTAAGATTTGACGTCAAGATATGTATTCGTAATATATATATTTAAAATATAAATACATGAATTTAGTTTTCTTATAGTTTTCCTTATAAATCATATAGTATCATGATTCCATAGTAGCAGGAGTATTTTCTTCTCTTTTTTCATTTACATTTTTATGATTATTTGAGCGACCGGTAAAATTTTAGAACATGAGCCAACACAACGTATTTTATTTTCAAGAATACCTATGAAGTAGATTTTTTTCTCGCACCATAAATTTAGTCGTGATAATTTAAATTAGCAGCTTGATTTATATGTTATAATTTTTTTAGGTTTTTTGTTTTTTACTTAATCAATATAGGAGAAAAGGGTGGACACCGGCTGATTAAGTTTTTTTTTTGAAAACTATTATGATAAATAGTGATTTACATCTGACTAATATAGCATGGAAATAGGAGATATCATATGCATAGAAATAGGCGAGAATTGAAGGGATAGAGGGGAGAGCGTACATCCCTGATCTCCCGTACGCACGGCATGGCCAAGCGGGATATGGATTTTTTCCCAAAAATATATCTAATTCCATATAATGTTGGGTCCACCAAATAAGTGTAAATCAAATAACTGAAAATCTGAAATAGCGGGTCCATCGGTTTATTAAATTACCACATAGCAGCTTAGTAGCATTTGTAGGAGTCCCATGTGGCGGCATGAGAGCATTTGTAGGAAGTTTAATGGACTTTTAGTATATAATAGATAGATAGATTTGTCTTGAAAAATACTTTCATAAAAGTATACATATATTATTTTTCAATGAATATTTTTATAGAAACAAGAAGTCAAAGTTATGTTTTAAAGACCGTATCAATGTCCTAAACGACTTTCTTTGTGAGTATGGATGGAGTATATTATATTTGTAGGTTTATTTCCCTATGGAATGAAAGCATATAAAAGGATTAAGCATGGGCATGGAGAAGAGAACCCATTGCTTCCCAATGATTACCTAGCCTTTTTCTTTTGATAGTGCTATATGGATAGGAGGAGGGCAATCAGCACGGCACTCCAAGGTAGAAAAAGGTATAAGAAAGGGCAGACTAGTACGAAGGAAAATCCATGATATTGAGAACAGCCGGCAAAGGAATAAGATCATTTTGACTCCCTCAACTGACCACCGAATCTAAATCGTATCCCTCAACCGCAATACCAGAAATCTCGACCCCCTGAACTTGCAAAACCGGTGCAATTTGACTCCCTCGCCGGTTTTAGGAGATGGTTTCGCTGACGTGGCGCCTATGTGGTGATATTGACCGAGTCTTCAGTCCACGTGGCACTTACGTGGCAGTAGAATTAAAAAATATACGTGGGACCCATTAGTCATTGGCACAAAAAAAAATGTGGGCCCACTGACATGTGGGGCCCACATGTCCTCTTCCTCCTCCCTATCTCCCTTCTCTCTCTTTCTCTCCCCTTCTTCCCAAACAAGTCGAGTGACAACAAACAAAGTGTCAAATTACCAAATTTTACGACAAAACGAGGGTGGTTTGAGAGAATAAATAAGTAAAACGAAACAAATATGCGTTACGTGAATAAGCGAAACGATAGTCGATAGAGCCCGATGAGTGAAAGAAAAGAGAGCAAAGAGAAGAGGAAAATAGAAAACCTGTAGCTACAAACGTGCAAGTGCCCAAACCGAATCATGCAGGCAAAGCCACCTCTGAGCTGCACAAAAGACGAGCAGGGTGAGGCCAAGACCTCCCCGATCTCCGACGCTGCCCGCAGCCCAATCGATCGTCTCCTCGATCAGGCCGCCATCATTTTCAGTGCAAGCTCTCACTCTCAAACAGTCACAGTCACAGTCACTCCACTTCACTGCCTGATCCTTCCACCTCTCGAGACGAGAACAACCAGATCACTCCTAGTGGTGGCGCCCTGCCCTCTCTTCTCCTCTCCAGTTCATGGTCCCAGAAAGGGGTTAGATTTCTCGCAGACGTGGTAAGCGTCCAGAAAAAAAAACACACTATTTTTATGGTTTTTGGCTCTCTGAAATCTGAATCCTGTCTGCCATATGATGCAAAAGGCTATTGTGATTTCACGTGCGGCAGTTCGGCCTTTTTCGCGTGTGTGCAATGTAGAATACTACAGTAACAGTGTGTGGTAGATCTGATCAGAGAAGGGGGAAAAATCCAATGAGGTTATGTGGCACACAAAAATTGCTCCTCTGCGTCTGATCATGGTCTCTTTTTTTTTTTCATTTTTCTTCTATCAGCAACGGATCCATTGCCTCATGCACTTTTTAGTTTTTTTTTACTGTTTAACTGAGACAAATATTTACTCACCTTGCTTCTTGTGTTCATCAGATGCGTGGGGCAATTATTATCGGATTTGTCGATCTTGTGATGATGCAATAGAGTACAAACATTCTCCTGTTGCCGACATCAACGGCACGCTTTGTAGTATCAGTAAGTTTTTCTTTTTGTGATGATTTACACACGCATTTACTGGTTTACTCGCTTTGTGTTTCAGTGTGATGGTTGCCTCCTAGTGATTACTGACAAAAGCATATGGGCTTTTGTTCAGAGACCGCACCACTGCAATCTGCAAGTGTGTGGCAAGTGGGATTAAAATCGAGCAGATGGTTCTGGTGAGCTAACCAGATGCAGGCTTATCTTATTTGAGGCACTTGGTTCAGTTGGTTGTGTTTGGGGGGTGAGTGATGAACCTGGAAGGATCAGAGAGGGTGTAGTAGTACGTGCCACGGAGCATGTGATCGGTAGGGAATCAATCCCCTCGCCGATGCAGATTTCGCCGCCTAATTTTGGCCTCTTCGCTCAATCTCATCTGCCTATTAACCTCAATCAACCTCTCTACTGCGGCACAAGCTCTTGTAGTTGTAGCATCTCTATGAGTAAATTGATTCTATTTTAACGGCATATGATTCGGTATAATTTCATATATATGCCAAGTTAAACAGTCAATATTTCATATTTAAAGCTAGGATTCTCAGTATTGATCACCATTCGATACTACAATTTGGTCCTCTCTGAATCTATCTAGCTAAGCTACGATATATGGTGCGGATCGTAAGTCGTAACCATCAGAGTCTGCAAAGATGCAAGAAGTGATTCCTAATAAACCAATGAATGAAATAACCATCATTATTATTGTTATTAGCATCAGCAAGCCTAATCAAGAAAGGCTTTACTGGGCAAACAAATGATCAAAACGATCTGGAGAAAGTAGGGAGATTACACCGAAATGGTCCAAACGATCAAGAAGCTGATTGATTGATCAGGTTCTTCCTAGAGAACCCGGTCGGAGTTGGACGGCAGGCGGCGGAAGAAGTTGAAGCCGGCGGACGGCATGTCGCCGCGGAACCTCGGGTGGCGGAGGTAGTAGAACCCCATGGCGAGCAGCAGCAGCTTGAACGGCACGGCGTACATGACGAGCGCGGCGAGCAGGCACACCACCGCGAACACCGCCGTGGCCCGCGGGTCGCGCCACGACAGCAGCGCCTCGATCCGCTCCCCCTGCGCCGCGACGTCGCCGAGCAGCGTCTGCGCCCGCCCGGCCACGGCGCGCAGCCTGTCGTACCGCATCCGGACCACGTCGGCGGGGCGGGCCGAGGGGAGCCCGTCGAACTCCTCGTCGAGCTCGTCGGGGCTGACGCTGTCCACGTGGGAGAGCCGCGGGTCCATCCCCGTGGGCTCCCGCGGCCGCGCCCTGTAGCGCCAGAGCAGGACCAGGAAGAGGTAGAGGCAGACGGTGGGGAGGATCATCTCCGGGCAGAGCACGACGGCGACGAGCAGCGCGTGCACCAGCACGGTGGTCGTCGGGTGCGTCCACGTGCGCACGCGGTTCGCCCACCTCACCGCCGTCGCGACGTGCGACAGGCAGCCCACGACGCGGAACCAGTTGGCCTTGCTCCGCCGCATGCTCCACGAGTGCGTGTCCGTGTCGAGCAGGTACTGCACCACCTCCGGCCCCAGCGGCGGCTCCGACCGCGCCAGCCGCCCCGACACGATGCGCATCGCCGTGTGCCGCAGCACGTCCTGCTGCGCGGGGCCCAGCGGCTTGACGTAGTGCATGCGCGGCAGCAGCGGGCTCCCGTACGCCTGCATCAGCGTCAGCCACGACGGGCAGGTGAACCGGATGGCGAGCTCCAGCTCCCCCATCTTGCGCACGCCCACCGGGTGCACGGCCGTGAGCGCGAAGGTGTTGGCGTACACGCGGTTGGCGTCCAGCGTCGAGAGGCGGATGCGGAGCTTGCCGATGCGCGCGTCCTTGGGCAGCTTCCCGGCGTCGCCGCTGGCCTCGGCGCTCCTGTACCGGACGTTGTCGAACACGGCGATGGTGAGCACGGTGCAGGGGTCGAACACGTCCCACGCGTACTGCTCGTTCCACCGCGGGTTGAACTGGTCCAGGATGGTGCGGGTGCGCGCCCACTTGGGCCCGTACTTGAGCACGACGTACGCGTCCGTCGACCCGCTCGCGCCGTCCTTGGCGATCTTCATCGGCACCAGGTTCGCCGCGCCGCGGATGCCCACCTCGAGCATCCCCACGGGCGGCTTCGACAGCTGCTTCGACGCCGCGCGGACGTCGCTGGCCACGTTCGCCGCCTCGTCGAGCACGTGGTAGCCGCCCTCCAGGCAGACGCGCACGTGCACCCGCCCGGCGTACGGCCGAGCCTCGTCGCCGCACAGGTTCAGCCACCGCGAAGGCGGCTCTACCCGGTCGTCAGATCGCCGGTGCACGGTTGACAGTGGCACGCGCGCCTGACCCACCGGCTGCCCGGAGAAGATATCCTCCACGACGACGGTCAGGAAGGGATCGAACGGCTCGGCGGCGACGAACAGCAGGTCCTCGTTCCAGCTCGGGTTCGATGTCCCCGTCGCCGCGCTGCCGAGCGCGACGCGGCAGGTCTTGAACACCTGGGCGCCGAGCTGCGCCTTGACGTAGAGCTCCGGGAAGGCCGGTCCCATCGGCTTCGCCTTGGCGTCCGGCGGCGCCGGCAAGCGCAGATCCTGCGCCTGGATGACGCTGAGGCGGAGGTACCAGAGCTTGGGGGACAGGTACGCCTTGGAGCGGGTGTGGACGAGGTAGCCGCCGGAGTCCGATTGCCACGCTTCCTGGAACGCCTCGTCGACCTGCGTGCCCACCCACACGGCGAGCATGACGTCGCAGGCCGCCGTGCCGTCATTGGCGTGGCCCTCGAGGGTGTACCACTGCGGCGCCAGCGCGCTGTCCGGCGGCGACCGCTTTGGGACCTCGTGAAGATCGAACGAGACGTACCCGAGGTTGGTGTCCGGCGGAGTGGCTTCTCCCTCCGCCGCCGGCTTCTTGGCTTCTTCATGGACGGTGACCTCTAGTGAGGTGGCCGTGAGGCTATCCTTGTGGAAGGCGAACACCTGATCCCACTCGCCAGCGGCCGTCGCCGCGCGCGTCTTCACGGCGTGCGTGCCGATGGACAGCTGAGCGTACAGCGGCTGCTTGTCTCCGCCGCCGTGGTGCTTGGCCTTGAGAAGCCGGACGAACAGGTAAGGCACGCGGTCCACCAGATCGTACGACGCGTTGCCCGCAGAGGCCGCCATGCTCCGCTCGGCGGCGCTCTGGGGACGAATCTCGAGGTCCCCGGCGACTCCGGCGGCCGCGAGCTCCATCTTCGACGGTGAGGGTGGCGGCGCCTTCGACGGCGAAGGCGGCACCGGCGCAACCTCCTTCTTGGTCTCGTCCTTAGCCTTGCCTTCCTCTTTGGGCTTCTCGCCGTCCTTCTTCCCCTTCTCCGGCGACTTCTTCTTGTCATCCTTCTCTTCCTTCTTGTCGGCCTCAGCTGATTTCTTCTCTTCTTTCTTGGCCTCCTCTGCTTTCTTCTCCTCGGCCGGCGCCTCCGGTTTCTTCTCCTCGGCCGCAGAGGCAGCGGCAGCGGCTGGCGCCTTCTCCTTCTCCTCCTTGCCACCCTCGGCAGCCTCCTTCTTCTCCGCGGCAGCATCGGCCTTTCCATCCGCAGGGGCGGCGGGTGGCGGCGGCGGCGGCGGCTCATCGACGAACCAAATCTTGAGCCCGATCTCCCCCTTGATCTGCGAGAAAACGCTCCGCTTCTCGAGCGGGTAATAGACGAGCACCTCGTCCCCGGCCTTGGAGAAGGAGGCGCCGGCCACCTTGACCTTGCCGAGGAACGTGCCCCCGCGGCGGCCGCCTCCCCCGGTGGCGGCGATGGCCTTCTTGTCGTTGTAGAGGTTGAGCTCGAGCGTCTCGGCGCACATGGCGTCGGGGTCGTGGACGAGGAACTCGAGGCGCTCCCCCCACTGCGGGTTGAGATCCCGCGGCCTGGTGGCCGTGCGGCGGCGCTGGCCGTCGAAGTCGACGACGGCGTAGGCGCTCGCCGTCCCCTGCCCGTCCTTGGGCATGAGGTTCCGCGCGTTGCAGACCTCCACCACCACCCGCCGCCTCGCCCCCTCCTCCACCATGGCTGGCTACCCCCCACCGCCCGCCCACAGGGTCAGCGGGAGATCTCGAATGTCCGAGGCTTCTCCGATCGCCGCGCGCCCGTGTCTGTGGCGAGCGAGAGCGACGTGGATCGAGTTGGGAATTCGGGGAAGGGAGGAGAAGAGAGAATGTGACCGTTGGAGAGTGGAGACTGGAGCGGAGAGAGTGACTTGGGTCTTGCCGTCTTGGAGGAGGTGGGGGTCGGGGTTTAAAAGGCGGCAACGGGCGGGAGGTGGGGCCGGAGGCCACGTAGGAAGGCGGTGGGCGAGCTCTGCGTGGCACGGAGCGTTGTCCGGTTGCGACGTGGTTGGGCGAGCCGGTGGCTGAGTGGCTGGATGGTGCGGTGGGGCCGCGCAGGTCAGCGTGTTTGTTGGGTGTGATGGTTAACGGCAACGGCATTGACGCGACCGGCGACGGAGACGGTGGCGGCGGAAATCCCTCTCGCCGGGAGAAGCGGGCGGAGACGTACGTGGGCCGATGCAATTTTTTTTTTTTTGGGCTGATGTTTTTCCATGTGTTGTGCGACCGGCCGTGTCCCCGAGAATGAGGAAGTGTGTGCTGCCGACCTGCCGTACATCCTGGCCGTTGAATTACGTTTGGTATACGAAATTCTTTCCTATTCTTACAGATGCTTCACGCGAAATTCTATAGCATTTGTGAATTGTGATAGATTATATTTAAATTTGTGGTGCTAATATTAGGACTCTTATGTAAGTCTTCCAACCAAACACATACAATCGTAACAAAAATTGGTAACGCAAAAATATGCTAAGGGTCAGCTCTGATTGGCGCTCTACCATAAATCTGACAAACGGTTAAAACTGAGCTAAATTTTGGCACTACCAAAATAGGATAGATATGCTTCAACTATATTAACTTGGGATAAATTTTGGCTTCAATCCAAATACGCAAATATTATTATTGAAGACTCCTATTATGTGGTAGGTTTTAGAATCAAAGCTAAGACAATCCTAATATTTGGCATTATTTGGGGTTATTTGTACAAATTTTCTCTCCAAGTCTAAGGGCATGCACTCTATGTTTAATGGAGAAATTCGAGAAGGAACATTTTACCACTCCTATGCCAAAGATAATTACCGTTGGCTTAATTACTCAAATACTATTTTCTCTCTTGTGTGGATTATTTATCCTCGTCATTATTTCGGCATCCCTTGATTCATCATATCTTCCGTGTCTTGATTACAAGACGATCATTTCGTATCTCACACTAATAAAGCCGTGTTTAGTTGTTTTGGTAAAAAAAATGATGTATATGGACACACATTTGAAGTATTAAATATAGACTAATAACAAAATAAATTACAGATTCCGCCTGTAAACTACGAGATGAATCTATTAAGCCTAACTAATCCGTCATTAGCAAATGTTTGCTGTAGCACCACATTATCAAATCATGGCGTAATTATGCTCAAAAGATTCGTCTCACTAAATTGTGCGATTGGTTTTTTTCGTCCACATTTAATACTTCATGCGTGTGTCTAAACATTTAATGTGACGGAAAAGTTGAAAGTTTGAAGGGAACTAAACACAGCCTAAGTAATAAATCGATCAGTGTTGGTGCACATTTAATAAGCATATATACTCCCTCCATACTCATAAGAGCAAGGCTAATAATACAGCCGAGCTGCTGGCTATAAGGTTCTTTATAGCCTTCTTTCAGCCTACCCATATAATAGTTAGCTCTTCACAATTAATACAGGGCCCACTTGTCTCTTTCACAGAGTTTCTTGGTTCTTGTGTCCAAGCCGGCTGTTAGTTTACAGCCCGCTTCTCCTCTCTCTCCTCTCTTCTTTCCTCCAACTCAGCATTTAGCTGGTTTATAGCCTACTATTATACTTGCTCTAAAGGAAGTCGTTTAGGATAATATTTAAGTCAAACTTTGGGAATATAAATCATGAATAACTCTCAAGTTAAGTTATTGAGTTTGAAAATATAAAAATTATATGAATAGATTTGTCTTGAAAAATATTTTCATAAAATTATACATATATCACTTTTCAATAAATATTTTTTTATAGAAACAAGCAGCCAAAGTTGTGTTTTGAAGACCGTGTCGCTGTCCAAAACGACTTCCTTTACGAGTACGGAAGGAATATCAAGCTAGGTACTAGTATAACATACTACCTCCGTCTTTTAAATAAATAACGATGTTGACTTTTTATCACACGTTTGATCATTCATTTTATTTTTAAAAATTACATAATTATAATTTATTTTGTTGTTTTTTTGAACGACTAATTTATTTTGTTGTTAGTTATTTTATCACTCAATGTACGTTAAGCGTGATTTATATCTTATAAATTTGTATAAAACTTTTTAATAATACGAATCGTCAAATATGTGTTTAAAAGTCAACTATATGTATTTATTAAAAAACGGAGGAAATATCAGTGTATCACAACCGTAGATACACCCTATCTAGGATGTGGAGTACAATCAGAAAGATTACCGGTTGGACTTAGGGGTGTAAGTAGGCTTGTCCGCGCTCTCGCTTATAGATAAAATTAGTGCGTAACCCGCGGGTTTCCTATTAATTTGATCTATAAATGGGTTTATAGATCGACTAACTTGCATGTCTAGATACGACAAGCCGAGCCACGACATGAAAATCCATAAATTATCATTTATTTGACCTATCAGTGAACTCGCTGGTCGACCCGTTTGCATCCCTAGTTGGACTTGTGTATCATCACCCCATCGGTGTGGCATCAATATATTAGCAGGCGTAGTAAAAACCTACGAAGTAGTAGTATACTACAATATCGGCCGTGGTGTGCATGCAACCGTGCATCAGTTGCGCTCATGTACGTAGCATCTCCCCGTTTTATGACAAACAGTTAAATATATTGGAGACCTATTTAACACTGAGCAGTGAGCAGCACCAACAATCAATATTTTGCATTGCCACGGCATCCGGATGCAAGAACACGAGATCGACCGAGGCTAGTGGGTGCCTAAAGTTCAGCCGTGGCATGGCTCCAAAAGAGCATTTGCACCAGCGTGGCGTGCAGTCCCATCGCCGAAAACTGTCACTACTACTCGATCCCAGCTGCTTTTTACTGCGCCGGAAGTATTAAATTTTGGGCACGTCCAGTCTCGTCCCGCCCGGCAAACCTCACAGCGACGCAGCGTGGTCGGTGGCGGCTAGTAGCTAGCATGCAGAGCAGAGCAAAGCCAAGCCACCACCCGCAACGTCTACTGCGCCGCGGCCGGCGATGCTGCACGCCTGCACCTGCACTGCACTGCAGGCCTCGTCATTGCCCGATGCAACGCGCGCGCGCACTAGCTAGCCAAACAAGTGAGACGACGATGAATTTGATGAAGTCATCTACACCGCTCGCCCACGCAGCTGCGAGACGTACGGAACGCGCGTGTGGGGGATCCACTGCCGCGCGCATTGCCTCTTCTCCCCCGTACGTTGCGTTCGTCGCGGTGCGCGCGCAGGTGGATGGATCGTGGCCTCGGCGCGGCGACGAGGGGCAATCGTTGTTGGGCGCATGCGTCCGAGCACGCATGCATAGCATCGCGTTGGCGTAAGAACAACTCGTACACGTACGTAGTACGCCCGTTTGAGATCGCTATATGCTGTGGATGCTGCTGATGAGCTGCTGCAACTGCTTCCTGCAACCCTGCAAGCGTTCCCCCCTGGTTTATTCCCCTACTATTGTTATTGCATCTCTCTGTGATTCCGATACGCAGATTTGTCCTGTAAATTTATAAATTCTTGTCAGTGCAGGTACAATAGTCCACATGGGTGCGTGCAGGAGTAAGCTTATCTTTGGTCTGTTCGTGGCCGATCGTTAACTTAGCTTGTTCTGTTAATAGTGCAGCTAATTAAGCCCATGTCCTCGTGTCTCGATCGATGGGGTTTTTCCTCTGTCATAAACAGGGCAAGTTCATACTATTTTATTTGTCTATATCAAAAACCGTACAAATATTACGTACAACGTGTGACAGGCGATCGAGCAAAACGAAAGAGTCGATCAGGCTCCCCCGTTTCTCAACGGCTCATTAGTACTACGAAGCATAAAATAGTTAATTATATTAACCCCGTTTAATTCGTCGAATATCTCTGGATCATTCATGGTTATATTGTTTTTTAGTGTGACACACTGTGACTACAAAAGGAGAGAGAGAGGTAGCACGTGCTGTGATGGTCTTTCAGCGTTCGAGACGCAGTGATTCTGGGCCTGGCCCACATCAATCTTAGTCCATCTCAAACGGGCCGAGTGGGCCTCTGGCCCGCAAACCCACTCGAGAGATCGATAGAAAAATTCGGCCCATGGGCTCACTAGCACGGCCCATCGCAAGGCCCCCCTCTCTTTCTCGCTGACGTCATCCAACCCATACTCTCTCGCCCGAGAAAAATAATTCGTCGTCTCCTCCACTGTCGTCCCGTTCCCCCACCCCCCCCCTCTCTCCCCCTCCGCCTCAGCTTCGCCTCCGCCCCCAAATCGTAAACCCTAGCCGGCAACCTCCCCCCCGCGGGGCAGCCATGGGCGCCAGCCGGAAGCTGCAGGGCGAGATCGACCGCGTCCTCAAGAAGGTCCAGGAGGGCGTCGACGTCTTCGACAGCATCTGGAACAAGGCACTCCCCCACTTTCCCCCTCCCCACGGCGGCCCGACCCCCCCCCCCCTCCCTCGTTTTCTCCTCCGTCGAATTCGTCTCCCCCTCCTGATGCTGCTTTCGGAGAGGTTTTGGTTTGTCCCTCTGAGATTTTGTTTTTTTGTTTCGCTGCTGCGGCGGTGGGGCTTGTACAGGTCTACGACACCGAGAATGCGAACCAGAAGGAGAAGTTCGAGGCCGACCTCAAGAAGGAGATCAAGAAGCTGCAGCGGTACAGGGACCAGATCAAGACGTGGATCCAGTCCAGCGAGATCAAGGACAAGAAGGTGAGCCCTCTTAACTTCTTAGCCGTAGCCGGTAGCTTCTCTTTAGCTCCAGGGGATGCGGTTCATGGTGCAATGCACTGCCTCCTGTGCTTAGAATTATGTATGTTCTGCTGTTCTGTCCAGTTAATTGTACGGAGAAACTGATGATTTTAGAAGAAACTCCATTAAGTTACGCCATACGTGCAGTGATTAGTTTTGTTGAGTGAAGACTTATATGCTTGCTGATTGGTCAGTACAAACACTGATCTGGGAATGCTCTTTATTTTACCTGATTCAGTTAACAGAACTCTAGGTGCCTATCAGCTTTCCTAGCGAGTTATGTATTATACATTATGTGGTCTGCGGGGAGTGCGTGAAAATATATTTGAGGTTACTGTTGGTATGCAACGCCTTTTCTCTTTTCGTGTTTATGCTGTTAGTAGCTGCATTGTTGTGTAGCTTCAATCTCGATGTGATGCTATTGCCACTAAGATGGGATGCTGATTTTGTGGTTTGTAGGCTTTTCTTTTCTTGTTGTGACAAGGAAATCCATTCTTAAGTAAGTTTTCAGTAGATGTTTGTAAGCCTGTTGTGATGCTAAATTATTTGGCAGAATTATGAATAGTTTTTGGGGATAGGTTAGTAAAGATGATGAGAACTGAGATCCACTTTTCAATACTATCCATGGTTGACATTTGTATCCATATTTACTGTGGTGTTTCTAAATCTCAATTAAGAGTGAGTATAGAACATTCCTGATAATTCTGAATGATGATGTAGTTATAGTTGGCTCTTATTGGCTCACTGCGGCATTCATACTTTTGGTAACTAATTTTAAAATGTTTTCAGTTGCATTTTATGGAACTACATAAAACATATCTGTACTTAAAGTATGTAACTGCAGCATTAGTTGCAGTAGGGAAGTAAAGAGGAATCTGGATGATGTATTAGATGCTGTTAATCAGGAGATCCAGTAGATGAACGACTCTGGTACAACAGAGCATTTTGGAAATTATTTTTGGTCTTCAGCCCAAAACATGGCTTATATGGCAGTCTGGTGACACAGTTTTCAACTTATGCTGCAATTGTTATATGACTGAAATACTTGATCAAGGCGTGCAACCTACTGTATTGAGAAGATATTTTGTTTTAAGGCATCCTCTTCACTTAGACTACTGTTTGTTGCAGTATGTCTCAAATCAATCTGTACAGATGGCCACCGGAATTTCAGAATTTACCTGAAGGCCATGCTAAACTTCAAGGTCACACAAGCTTAGGGACAAATTCACTGAATCTATTGCATATTGATTCTCCTTGAAGCTCTTTTTGTTGCTTATTTTCCTTGTAAATTATTTTTGAAGGTTTTTGTTTGTAAACCAGATGCACTGTTATTTCAATAAGTCCATTTTTTTCATTCTTAATAAGTAGTCCCTCTGTCCCAAAGTGTAGTTACCTTTACCATTCAAAATTTGCCCCAATCACAACCATTTCCCATTTAATTTCTCCACCTATTTCCTCATCTCAACCAATCACAACAATCCCTTGTTTTATTTAACTTTTCTCCTTAATACTAGTGCCTGACTCTAAAAGTTCTTACATTTTGGGGGCGGAGGGAGTATTTGCTTCATCTTGCTGTTGGTACTTGTTAACCTTGGTTAACCATTCTAATTATGAATACTACGAAACATATTTTACCATGAACATATGGGAGTGTTCCAATAAAGAAATGGAGCAGGATTCACGATTATAGTTTTAAAAGCAGTATTCTGTTCTTCCCCTCTGAATTTCTTCTTCAATCATGTTTTTTTTTTGTATGATATATTTTGCCGTTGCAAATGACTTTTTTGTTAACATTACTTACTGTTCTGGGTTTAACCCATTTATAATATATGTGTTGACATAGGTTAGTGCCTCTTATGAGCAGGCTCTTATGGATGCCCGAAAGCAGATTGAACGCGAGATGGAACGATTTAAGGTTTGTGAGAAGGAAACTAAAACGAAGGCCTTTTCCAAGGAAGGGTTAGGTCAACAACCGAAAACTGTAAGAACTTGCCCTCCTCTGTTTGCATCATACTTTTCCTGGTTTTGGTTGTAACTAATTTGAATTGTTATTTAAACGCTTTGTTCGCAAGAGGTGAAGGCTGAAGGTTCTGATTATAAATTCTTGCTGCATTATGCTTGTTGTAATCTTGTAACGGAGTGTTCAGATTTTGTGCTAACTCTATCTTTATGTGATAGGCATTCGTCGTCTTAGAATATTCAAACTTTGAAAGCAACTTAAGTTAAAACTAGCTGTTGCTATGATTTTTAAAACAATACTATTGTACGAAATAAGATGTCCAAAATCCAACTAATGCCATTGTGAATTCGAGATGGTTATCTAGCTGGTAATTGGCACTTCCCTAGCAGATGCCACACAACGGCAAGTTTTAGTTTTCATTTTGCACAACATGCCTACGACCATAACTCCGTTTCCATCTTCCGGGATGGATTGATCCATTGGCTCAGTCAGCTGATGGCCTGTTAGCCATGACCCTGTGGGAAAGCTGCAGCCCACACTAGTGGGCTATGGTTAGACCACTGCTCAACTGCCTGCTCATTCATGATATGTTTCCTCTTCCCCTCTGCTTCCTTCCTTACTGCTCTCCAATCTGCCAAACACCCCAGCAACAACAACTCAATCCACTACTGGTGACTGCACAGATCTTACTTGCTGCATGGATGCTGGGTTAAGGCGAGCTTGATGAGGTGCATGGCACAAAAGGTGGAAGAGATATCGATGGTAGTGCTAGAGGATGGGCTCATGAGGGTGGCACAGGGTGTTGAAAATGCGGTGCCGTGTTGAGGGGCAGTTGTGCTTGCGCAGGGTTTAACTGCACCATCAAGAGCTTGCCGCTGTTGCTGAACTGTCACTACCGTCTGCCAGCAGTATCAGCCTTCAGGTTGGGTAGTACAAGCGTGATTGAGTGGATTTCTGCTATAATTTTGGGGATTTGGTGAAGGGAGAAGGTGACATTAGGTCGCTGACACTTGGTCCCGCACATCAGGTTGTTATTGGTGGTGGCAGACTCACAACACCAGTACCACCCCCCTTCTATCTAAACGAGTAAAGATAAATCGAAGCCTGAGGCTCTGAACTGATTGTTCATAACCTTCATTGGAATTACAATGATGCTACTGACGTCTTTTAGAAAGTAAATTTATCTCAAGCTATTAATTTACTCCAAAAACTAGGAGATGCAGTGACCATTTGGCTGTTGGGAAAATTTATGGTTTTTTTAAAAAAATATCCAACTTAGATTTGAGCTTGTATTTTGTATCTGGTCCAAGTTTCCATTGCGAGCCTTGTCTGCTTAGTTATGGCCTTATTTCTTAATTTTACACAGCAGTCTTAGAAAGTGAGTCTTGATTTATCAATTATCTTTTTTGTCAGTTTCTGTGTATGTTGCAGGATTTTGCAGCTCCCCTTTAGTCTAATGGTTTATTTTCAATTTGTGCAGGATCCAAAAGAGAAGGCAAAAGCTGAAACAAGAGATTGGCTTAACAATGTGGTATGTTAGAAACATAATCTGTATGCTCTGTCTCGTGCGTGTATGTCTTCACGCCCTTCCAATATTCTGTAAATCATTCTGAAGCAAAGAACAGGTTTGCAAAATACGGTGTATTTTGCGTTTTGACAGTTCTCATTGTCATGAGTTGTTAGGGCCTAAAGACATAGTTGATTTTTTTTTCCAGAAGACATGGGGTTCTTTAGATACAATCTCTCAGCAGCTGTCATCCTTGATTATAAATATTTTCTTTGATCTGATCACTGTTATCAATTGCATTATCTTTGATTTGATAACTTTTATTGAGAAGTTGACTGTATTACCATGTTATTTGTGATGACTTCTGCTTATAACATTTATACTTTTTTCCTTTGTTGTACATGCACGTGACATATCTAATTATATTCTTTATCTTGTTTACAGGTTAGTGATTTGGAAAACCAAATCGATAACTTCGAAGCTGAGGTTGAAGGACTTTCAATTAAGAAAGGAAAGCAAAGACCTCCTCGATTGGTATGATCAATTGAGTCAGAGTGCAAACCGATCATTTTTGCGTGTTTGTGAGAAATATTTCCAATAATATCTAGAATAGAGGAAGTAACTTTGCATCATCAGGTACATTTAGAGAAATCTATCACACGGCATAAAGCTCACATAAAGAAATTGGAGTCAATATTAAGACTTTTGGATAATGATGAGTTGAGTCCTGAGCAAGTTAATGATGTGAAAGATTTCCTGGATGACTATGTTGAACGTAACCAGGTGTGGCTGTATTCCTATTTATTTGTGTCAATATTTTCATCCGATTTAGTTTATTGCTATGTTCGCAGAACACATTCTTATTATGTCAGTACGTTATTCAAATCTAGGAAGATTTTGATGAATTTAGTGATGTGGAAGAGCTCTATAGCACATTACCTATGGAGAAGGTTGAAGCACTAGAAGACATGGTTTCACTTGCCCCTTCCAGTCTTGTCAAGGTGAGCTGTAGTAGAGGTTTTTTTCTCTTCCACGCGCTTCACCTTTGGGCTTGTTGTATATCTTTGAACCTTGTTTCTTGCTTGGCAGGGTGTTGCTTCTGTTTCTACTACTGCAGTTTTGAGTACGAAGAGTTCTGTAGCAACTTCACCTACTCAGGTATTGGCTATTATTATTTATGATTCACTAGATTGTCTTTTCCCTAACCACATGGTCAGTCTAGCTGATAATGTACTGTTTCTTGTTTGACTGTCAAATGCCATTTTTGTTGTATGCACATTATAATTAAAGCTAATGTTTGAATTCCTGTCGTTTGTCCTCTCCTGTGGCTCTTTCTTCAGCTGTTCTTTTATCTGTATGCCAACTCTCGTTCTTAATGCAATGAAAATATCTATCTCCTGCATATTCTTCAAAAAATTATGTTGTTTTTCTAATATTTAGATTTCATAAAACATGTGCTAACAAGATCAAGGAAATATGTTTTGTCCAGGCCTTTTCTAATGTCTTCTCCTGGTTACCACTTATTATTGTGCTGGTTTACTAACTTCCCTTCTCTCCAGGCTACTGTATCAGCAGCTCCTTCGCTAAGTGTATCACAAGATCAAGCAGAGGAAACGGCTTCACAAGAAAGCAATCCTGAATCGGCACCACAGACACCACCTTCAAAAGTTGGAAGTCAACCTTCAGTGCCAGTCGTGCCGACTACCATCAGTACTAGTACCGCTGCTGTCTCTGTTTCAGCTGAAACCATTAGTTCCCCTGTACGCCCAATTGTTCCTACCACAACAGCTGCAGTACTTCCTGCTTCTGTCACTGCTCGAAGTGCTCCAGAGAACATACCAGCTGTTACTTCAGCTCCTGCGAACTCATCTAGTACCTTGAAGGATGATGACAACATGAGCTTTCCTTCACGTAGATCATCACCTGCAGTCACCGAAATTGGCCTTGGCAGGGGTATTACTCGTGGATTAACTAGTCAGGGATTAGGTTCAGCTCCAATAAGTATAGGTCCAGTATCAGGGAATGGATCAGTTAGTGCACTTACTGACTTGTCCAAAAGAAACATGTTGAATACTGATGAGAGGATTAACAGTGGTGGTATTTCTCAGCAGTTGATTTCACCACTTGGTAATAAAGCTCAACCTCAGCAGGTTCTGAGGACTACTGATACAATTAGCTCTGATTCTAGTAACACAAATGAGAGTACTGTTCTTGGAGGAAGAATCTTTTCTCCCCCAGTTGTTTCTGGGGTTCAATGGAGGCCTCAAAACACTGCTGGTTTGCAAAATCAAAGTGAAGCGGTAAGTACCTTTCAACCCCCATACCCACCCCTTCTGAATTCTTCTATGCTCTTGCATATGTTGGCATTTACCATAAACTTTCTAGGTGTGCCAGACCTGCTAATTGTTGAAAACAGTATTTCACCGTTTTAAGTCTTTCAACTAAATAACTGATTCAAGTCAATCTTCAGAATTTCTGCGTGCTCTCAATTGTGCTTTGCTCTTTCCTGTTGATCCAATGCCATCATGGATTTTATTCATGTTGAGCTTTTGCTATTCCCGTTTGATTTTGCATACTGGCATTATCTTTGTAATATGTTACACTAACCCTTTTGTATTCCAGGGCCAATTTTGTGGAAGACCTGAAATTTCTGCAGATCAAAGGGAGAAGTACCTGCAAAGATTGCAGCAAGTACAACAACAAGGCAGCCTTCTTAATGTTTCTCATATAACGGGCATAAGTCAGAAGCAATTTCCATCACAACAACCAAACCCGCTCTTACAACAGGTACTTCACGCTGTTATTATTTAATTGAATTGTATTGTGTTACATGAAGGTCTCCTTGTGGTTGAGAAACACAACATAGTTGATCACATCAGATATATCTAGTGCAGACCCCTTGGAAGGTCACTGATTTCCATTAAGGCATCAAATTAACTAAGAAAAATAAAAAAAAAATCCTTTCCACTTATGGCATTTTAGTATTTCATTATTTTGTGCCTTCTATATGATGGCAAATCACATTTGGGAATGTCTCAGCATTTTTTCTTGTTAAGACACCCTAAATACAGGACCTTTTTTTGGTGCACTAGATATGCCAGTCAGTCTTGCTTCTGGATTAGACCAGTTTCACATTTCTGGTCATCTTATTTATGCAGTTTAACTCTCAGAGTTCCTCTATTTCCTCCCAAGCGGGTATTGGGCTTGGGCAGGTACAAGTACCAGGTATTGCTTCTTTCTGCTCATACCAGCTGTGTACAGCCTTATAAATCCCCAAGTCTTTAGCTATGTAATGGAAAGGTTCATAATATTTAACCACTAGCTGTTTATTGGCTGTATTGAGAATTTACCTGTCTGTGCAGAATCTGGGCATACAAAAAGTGAGGAACAACAACAAAGTTTTGCAGAAGATGTTAGTGTGGAATCCGTTGCAACAGCTGGAGCAAACAAACACATGAGTGAAGATGATACAAAGATTCCATTTTCGGTATGATCCAACTTTTGCAAAGTTACTCAAGAATATCAGCTTCTAGGAACACTATAGTTTTCCATGCAAACTTTCTATATTCCACAATTTTCATGTGATAAGATTCTACAGTTAAATTTATGATTTGTGTGTGTGTGTGTGTTGGGGGGGGGGGGGGGGGTCGTTCTTTGTTTCAGATGCTACCAAGTTGCAATTGGTTGGAATTCTGATTGTAGCTTCTAGGGGTTCTGGTTGGTTAATTTGGTCAGTTCAGCTTCTGACTAATAGAATTCTACTTTAGCTGATCAGAAAAGCGAGCTAATTTAAAAACCCAAATCCAGAAGGTTAACGATAATTCCTGTATCCCAGTGTAAAATATTAGAAAAAACTTAAAAATATGTTCCCCCACTTGCCCATGTTAAAGCTTGAAGGTTAATGCTATAATAGCTTTGCACAAGCAAGTTAATAAATGCCATAGAATGCTGGAACTGTAGAATAGGCAGAGTTGGATGCTGAAGTATGGACATGAACTTGGACGTGCTTTTCTGATTCTGAGCTTCATGTTGACAAGAAGATTTGCCACCCAAGCAATGTGAACCTGGTAACCAGTGAAATAAGGTGGTTACATGAACAGAAGCGAAATTAATGTCTCACTATTGCTTGAATTCAAGCATACTGCAATCATCAGTGAAATAGTTACTTCTAGTTGCTTGGGAAATTCATTGATTATCCTAGTTGCTTGGGAAATTCGGAAACGCTGTAATGACTCTGCTTTCAAAGGAGTGAATCCAAACATCACAGAGGTGTTGCGGGCAGTGTCAACAGAAGCTAGGCTTTGGTGCCTGTCTGGACTCTGGAGCCCTTGTGCTCCAAGTTTTACTTTGTAGGTTGCTAACCCAAGGGCACAGGCTGTCGTAGGGTGTTTTTTTGGGTCATGTGTTGCCTTAGTTTTACCTTTGCTGTTTGTGGATGGGTTCTTGGTGAGGGGTTTGTGAGCCCTTGGTTGTATAGGTGGTTCGTTTTCCTTAATGAAATGAAGCCCGGCTCTTCTGCATTTTCTAAAAAAAAAGGTTACTCCTGTTTCAAATTACTTGGCATTCTAGCATATCTCACACTAACCAAGGAGCTGTGGCAAATTATATTGATACCCTCTTTAAATGCATGCCAATTGTTTTCCCAAAGCAGTCATCTATACTCCTTTATAAGAAGGTAGTGGTGGCAGTGAATCTGCCACCCCACCTACTCCCATTATAAATTTTACTCTTTTGCAAATTATCCCTTGGAACTTATTAATATAAAAAAAATCAAAATCTAAATGCTAGCCACATATAAAATCAAATGGATAGCCACATATTCCCTATAGCAAAAAGATGGGTAACACATTTCATGGGAAATACACTTTTATTTATTTTAGGCAGTATATAATATTTTTTATCCGTAGCAAAGCACTGGCATTCAGCTAGTTAACTCTAATTAGTTGAGATGAGCCAATAAGAACTGTGATTGCATTGATGTGTGACTGCATTGATGAAGGGTGGGGAGGGAAGTTCACCTCTAAAAGTGCTTTGGAATGTGAGCATGACAAGTATTTTGGTACAAAAATTGATCCTAGAATGGCAAGTAATTTGAAATGGAGGGAGTGTGGACTAACTATTGGTGAAAAGTGTAAATCTATTTTTCTAATAGAGGAAACCAATAGAGAATTTTTCAGTTTGAGGATTTCTGGCTTTTTGGGTGCGATTCAGATGTTGAAAGAACAATGCTAACATATATGATTCATCAGAATTGCAGAACAAATATTGCATACTATAATGGCATTTACTTCATGGACTTCATGGTTCACTATCCTTATGTTTTTTCCCCTTGGCTGGGCTTTGTGGTTCACTATCCCTGCTTCTACAATTTGTTTTGCCTAGGTGTCTGAACCGTTTAGGAGAGCAATGTTTCAGATTAATGATGGAAGTATCGTAGTTTTTTCATTTTTTGCTTAACTCGTTATATTTGAACACCTACTGTTCTTGTTTTCTCAGAATCCGTCAGCATCCATAACAGAAGGTACTCAACTATCTAGAGACCCTGATCTACCAGCTGGGCAGCCTTTGCAACCTGGCATGTCATCATCTGGTGTTGGTGTTATCGGCCGGAGGAGTGTATCTGATCTTGGTGCAATTGGTGATAACCTCAGTGTAGCTTCTGCAAGTACTAGTCATGATCTGCTTTATAATCTGCAAATGCTTGAAGCTGCTTTCCATAGGCTTCCACAACCAAAGGACTCGGAGCGAGTCAAAAATTATATTCCGGTAAGATCATTTTAGTAGAGTTGTTATGAACAAAATATTCTGGCGTATTGTTCTAACTTCTTTGTCTTCTGTTATTTTCAGAAGCACCCTGCAGTCACCCCTGCCAGCTTCCCGCAAATTCAGGCACCTGTAGTATCAAATCCTGCCTTTTGGGAAAGAATGGGTGGCGATTCATTATCTACGGATTTGTTGTTCTTTGCTTTCTACTATCAGCAAGTAAATTTCCACACTTTTTTTTCAATTGTTTTCATCTGCCTTGCCTGCCTTTAGAAACTTCCAATGAGTTATAAACTGTTTGCTCTTTCTCCTGGCATTTTCTGTTGCTTTCATAGAACACATACCAGCAATTTTTAAGTGCCAGAGAACTAAAGAAGCAATCGTGGAGATTTCACAGAAAGTACAATACTTGGTTCCAACGGCACGTGGAGCCACAAGTTACAACTGATGAGTATGAGCGGGGATCTTATGTGTACTTTGATTTCCATGTCATAGATGACGGCACAGGATCAGGATGGTATGTTTAATAACATCATTGCATGCATATTAGAATCTATTTTCTGGCATGGTATTGCTGTTTCCAATCGAGTTCTCTATTAGCTGGGCTCAGTATGGCAGTAGTAATACTAATTTCTAAGATGGTACCCTTCTTCGACTGTGTTTAACTTGCTTATACCGTTGCTTGCAGGTGTCAGAGAATCAAGAACGACTTCACATTTGAGTACAACTTCCTTGAGGATGAGCTGTCAGTACAGACAAATTAGAGAGCCAGGATATTAGGGCTAATCAAATCATTTTCACCATTGTGAATCTTGTAACTTTTAGAACGGAACTGCTGGAATCTGGAACACTTACAGATTAACTTTGTGGTTGGATTTAAAAGCTGTTCTGTGCCTTCCTTTCCATTCATATTCATACACAATGGCCAAAACACTCATTCGCCTTGTTTCGTTGCTCTTTCTTCTCCGAATAGCTCCGTTATTCCGGTGAGGAAAAAGTACACTGAAGGTTCCTCAACTTGTCATCGAGTTACAAAATCGTCCTCCAACCGTAAAACCAGATATATGACATCCTTCAACTTACTAAATCGTTCACTTTAGATCCTTTGGTGGTTTTGATCCTCGTTTTGTCTAACGTGGTAGCTGAGTCAGTGTGGGACTCACATGTTAGGTGACCACGTCATCACCCTCTCTCTCGCCCCTCTTCTCTCCCTCCTCTCACTCTCTCCTCCTTGTCTGGTGGCCAGTGTCGGGCGATGGCGGCGGCGACTTGGTGCGGCGCCGACCCCCCAAAACCCTCGCCACCTCTATGGGGCGTCGCGCGATCACGAGCTCTCTCCCATTCCCTTCCCTTCCCTCCCTCCCTTCCTTTGGCGTCCGGTGAGATCTGGCGTTGCCGGAGCTACTGGTGATCCAGGTAGGGATCGCGACGGGGCAGGGCAAGTTCATCGAGCTGGTGAGGGAGGCCCAGAAGGTGGTGCATGGCTCAAGTACGTGGATGCCAAGGGCCTCCCCATGGCTAATGACTACACGCACCTCACCACCCCGACGCAAATCAAGCTCGACAAAATGCTAGCCAAGGCTATGACGCTAAGGAGATGTCGCCGTCGCCGGTGAGCTCGCAGGAGCTCGGGAGTCTGGCGGCTATGGCGTGAGGGGGGGGGGGGTGACGCGACACGACCCACGGCTCTTCCACCGGTTGGAGGCGAAGCTGAAGTGGGTGCAACCGCCGGAGGAGACCGATTCCACATCGGTGTCGGCGTCCAGCGGCCGCAGCGATGACGGCAACGGGCGTGCTCCTCCCAACGCCGCCTGTGCTTGCCGCCCGCGCGCAACTCCTCCCACCACCGCCTATGCCCACAGCTCGCGCCTAGCTCCTCCCCCTCCACCGCTCGTGGAGAGGAGAGAAGAGATTAGAGAGGAAGAGAAGGTTGGGAAATAAGTGGCTGACGTGTGGGGCCCATGTGGGTCCCACGCTGAGTCACCCGTCACGTCGGACAAAACCGTAGTCAAAACCGCCGAAGGATCTACTGTGAACAGCTTTGATTAGTTAAGGGATGCTGGATATCTGGTTTTGAGGATGTTAAACCTAAATGCCTCTATACCGTGTGAAGCTCAATATAGTCGGTAAGACTTTCTTTCTCTGTGCCTTGAAACATAGGTCCTGCATAGATATAGACACATACCAGTCTAGAGCATAATTATAATTTCTAATTCACTATCACACCCTCATGGTGTATTGCATTGCTAAGTAGTAAGTTGAGTATTATTGGCGACGGTGGCCACCATTGGGGCGGTCTCAACTCAGCTATATATATATATGCCCTGACTACACTTATGATATTGTAGCAAACTCTATTGTTGGTGCTTGGTGCCCTTCAAGGAAAGACAAAGATGAAATGGAGATGATCAAAATATTTTTTTTCTAAAAAAAGAAATTTTATGATATAGATAGAATACTCTCTTTTGAAAATAAGCGATTTTAATTATTTGATAGAATACAAAATTTATAGCTAAAGAGACATACCAATAGGATAATCTCCATAGCACTATATTATTTTTATATTTTGACAAATATATATAGCGTAGCACTTGAATTATTTTCAACACCTATTTTTGATAATCATACGAGACACCTTTAAGAATGTTTTTTTTTCAAACTAATTTGTTGAAGTAAACTTTAGTCACGTCGGTGGGATGTATGATATACATCTATTAATTATGACTGATATGTTAGAATTCCTCAATTATAAGAAAATATATCATGTGTAGTTTATTGTATTATTTAATTGTTTATTTGCTGTCAAACTATTTGCCCAGAGAAACAAAATATACATATATATAACAAAAATCTCATGATGGATTAAAGGGTTGTGCTATAGCATGATCATTGGCTGAAATATTTTTAAATATTTTTCACATCTATGTACCATCTATGCTGCTTACTTCTCAAATACCAATCAAGTATTGCTGAAAAATTTCAAAAAACACTTTGAGATTAAACAAATTAAAACTAAATCATATCTACATAAAAAACTTTTCAAGTGATATTTGACACCCTAAAATATGATGCGAAATCATTTAAAAATCATCATAATATTAATTACTATTTATTGGCTCTATGTGTGGTGATGTATTTAGTAGGACCATAATATAACTTTTATAATATGTCAATAGTTTTTCTTTTTGCAAGGAATATGTCAATAATTTATTTAGATAAAGGAATACAACGTGATCAAATTAGATATATAATTTTAAAAATACTCTAAAATATGAATGTTTAAAGATCGTTAATTTGACATTTTATACAGATCTAGTTTAACTACGCATATTTGTGTGTGTGTGTCTATATATATATATATATATATATATATATATATATATATGATATGGTAGAAAGTTAGAGACCGTTGATTTTTTTTTGCGATGGTACTTCGTAAATATGGTTTTTTATTATCTTTATTTATAGTACATATGTTTTTTTTTTCTTTTGGCGAACCGTACGTACATACGTAAGCCCGTGCGTTGCAACGGGTGAAGGCTATTGTTATATGGTTTAGTTAAGGTGAAATTTACCGTGGGAATTCGCTTATATATATATATGTATATGTATGTATATATGTATATATGTATATATATATATATATATATATATATATATATATGTATGTGTGTGTGTATATATATATATATATATGAGTTTGTTCTGTCTCAAGTTAGCATGCGATTTTTTTTAAAAAAAATTTCTTATACGGATATATATTTTCAAAACAAACTTAAAAATTGACTCAAATACGGATATTGTATTTTCAAAAGCTAACGAACTTAGAACCGACTCATACATAGATGACGTACCAAAATACCAGCAAAAACATCTGCAATTTATATAATAGTAGAGATATATAGGACTGCTCTAATGTACACCCCCTATAGTATAACTATTCTACACCCATCTCCCTATAATATAACTATTCAGAATAAGTTCATTTTAGGTCCCTCTATTTGTCGTCCAGTCCGATTTTCGTCCCTGCAGCACAAAACCGGATACAACACATCCCTAACTTACAAAACTGTACAAACAAGGTCCCTCGGCGGTATAGTCCCTGGTTTTGGCTGACGTGACGCCTACGTGGCGCTCCTTTGACTAGGTCTTCGTCCAACGTGGCATTGACGTGACGCTTACGTAGCAATTTGATCCTGATAAATAATAGAACCCATGGAACCCACATGTCAGTTACACATAAATAATAAAAAATGATGGGGCCCACATGTCACATTCAGCCTCTTCTCTTATCTCTGTCGTCTCTCTCCCATGCCAACTCGCTAGAGCAAGGCGGACAGGCAAGGCGACAGCGGGCGAAGCTGGCAGGAGTGTGGAGCGGCGGCGGTGGCGGGCGGCGACGCGCGAAGCCAATAGGAGGAGCGGAACAGGCGGCGGCGCGCGAAGCCGATAGGAAGAGGTTGAGCAGCGGCCGGAGCGGGCTACGAGCAGGACGGCGCCTCGTCGCCGTCGTTCGCGGCCTGCACAAAGCGGTAGGTACAATCAGATCGTGGAATCGATCAATCAATCAAGAAATCAAGAATCATCCTAGAACCGATTTGATTTGATCGGTGTGATGGACAGACAGACGACGTCATCAACGACATGGTGCTCCGATTCATGTCGATGACGTGAGACCCACCGCCGATCACGGGCGACGGCCTAGCGCGGCTACACCCAATCGACGTCTGCCACTAGAGCCTCCTCCACGGGACGGCGCCGCCGCCTGCGCCGAGCGTCCACTTCAGCCGCAGCCCGACGCGGAGCCTCCGTGACATCAGCTTCTGGCGCGGGACGCTGTACATCCCGGAGCTCGCCGTGGACGACACGACGGAGCACAAGCTGTCCAGCCTGATGGCGTACGAGCGCCTCCACGCCAGCGCGGGACCAACGAGGTGACGGCGTACATGTTCTTCATGGACAGCATCATCAAGTCCGGCGACGACGTGCGGCTGCTGAGCGGCGGCGTGGTGTCGAACGGGCTGGGCAGCGACAAGGCGGTCGCAAGGATGTTCAACCGGCTGACGAAGAACGCGGTGCTGGACCGGCGGAGCCCACTGCGCGGCGTGGAGGGGCAGGCGAACGACCACCGGGAGAACGCGTGGAACGAATGGCGGGCCACGGGCGGCGCCCGCCCCTCTTCGCCCCTCGCCTCCACGCCCTCTGCTCTGCCGCCAGCTGGAGAGAGAGAAGTGGGAGAGAGAGAGGATAGAGTGAAGAGGGTAGTGAGGATGACGTCTGGGTCCACATGGGTCCATCGTTTTTTATTTTTTTTTGTGTGAAACTGACATATGGGTCCTATGGGTTTTATTATTTTGTGGGATCTAATTGCCACGTAAGCGACACGTCAATGCCACGTTGGTCAAAAAACTAATCAAAAGGAGCCACGTAGGTGCTACCTCAGCCAAAACCGGACACAATACCGCCGAGGGACCTCATTTGAATGGTTTCGTAAGCCGGGGAACCCATCGTACTCGGTTTTCTGACCAGAGGACGAAAAAAAAGAGGAGAAGGTCGCGGAAGAGGGAGGGATTTCATTTGAATGGTTTCATAAATTGGGGGACCCATCGTACCTGGTTTTCCGACTAGGGGACGAAAAAAAGAGGAGGTCGCGGGAGAGGGAGGGGAGAGAAAACCGGAGGGATTGGGATTGGAGGAGAGGCGCGAGGGAGGGGGAGGGACGCACGGGGGGTTGGGCTCCGGAGGGAGGTGGCTGGATTGGAAGGGAGGGGGAGGTGTAGAATAGTTAGGAATAAGTCCGGTGCCTAACCCCCGCACGTGCCTCCCTCTCCCTATCCGTCTCTCATTTTTTTCATCGAATAAACCTTCTTTTTTTTCTCTTTTTTAGAAAAAATTAAAATAAATTGATGAATTCAAGACTTTAACTCATAATCTCATAGTTCATA